TAACTATACCGGGCGGAGCCGGGTATGCCAGCTAGTCTAACATAAGTGCGGCGCGCTACGCAGGTGGGTATGCATGCGCGGCGGACTCGGAACATAGGACTAAATTGGAGATCGCGTAACGAGTGGAATCGGGGAGGTATGTCTTAAGCCTAAGAGGCTGCAGTGCCTTTGCGTGCAGTTATGGTGAGGTGACTAGACAGATGGTGCCTACCAGCATAGCTTACTGAATCATGTGAACAAAACTACAACTACTAGCATAGTTTCAGACAGAATTTGGATATTTTGACGAAGTAGTCACGGAATTCTAAGAACGTGCATGCAACGAGAATAAAGATATCGAGTTTGATGATGTGCCGCAAAATCTCGATTGCAACAATACTGACGAAAGTATCAACTTCGAAATCGACTAACCCTAAATGTTCTTCCTCTTGCTTCCTTTGTAACGAGGAAAGTAGAGTCTGCATCCGGCTAAAACAACGATAAACAATAGCATATTAGCAATCGCTGTCAAAGGCACTAACCTCCTTCCTCACATGTCCCCCCATAAAACGGACCAGCCTGCTCCAGGAGCTTCTCTCGGCTTCCTCTCCGGAACCAATTATAACATTGATACTTCGGAACATATCACAATAAACAGCACGTTTAGGCTTCGCACGCGGTAAACACTGAATTATACACATTCAAAGAATATCAGACGGAAAAGTGCTCACCAGATTACGCTTAATCCTGCTTTTTATCAAAGCTATCCCAAACACTGTTGCCTCGCACTGCACGCTTTTGAAGTTGTGAAAAATTTCGTTTTCGAAGTCGTCAAAAACGAACACAACGCCCCGAACATTTTTGCAGTCGAGACCGGTCTCACTGTGGAAAACAGGGCAAGTATATCTTTCCTGAATATGTAGTCTAAGTTGGTCAGCAAGCAAAAGTAGTACAGATTTGAGAAATGAACAAACGAGAGTTAGCTACGTTTTACGTCTAAAGTGTGAATTTTCTTAGGCCCGTGCACTGAAGGCACCGTCCACCCGAATTCTTGGCTTCCATGTTTTTGTTGTTCCAAAGCCTTCTCATGTCTTTGGTTCAAGTCAATCCGCGAAAAACTCGACAATACCCGTACCGCAGAACCCATAGGGGTGTTGTTCGGACGTTGATTGGTTGGGTGCACACGGATGCACCTGAATGAACGGGACGAACATCACGCCCATGCAAGGAGAGAAGCCGTTGTGGCAAATCCATACTTTGAAGCGATTTTCGAAGTAATCTACAGTTTAGTCGTGTAGGACGAACTGTTTTCCTGGGCAATTCACAGAATGTGGTTCTCTGAGCCATATGGTGCTAAGCAGAAGGGATGAGAGCTAATCTCTGATCATTTGAAGTAAGAATGCAGTCAAAGTCGTCTGTATGACTCTGCTGTGAGACTACGCCAAACTCTTGCTGGTGATCGAAGAAAAGAGGTTTCCTCCGATGCTTTCTTATTAATATGTATCGCTTTTATCATATTAAGTTGGACAGAAAAACCAATAATTAAAAGGGTAAGTCTCAGAAACATTTAAATATGTCGTACGATAATCTTGTCGCATTACCTCCTCTCAACAAGAGAATACTCCAAAACAGAATTCGCCTTCAACTCAGCTGAATTCAGAACAAGTTCTATGCAGAAATAAACATAGAATATGCACATGCATATGTATG